AAAAAAAAAAAAAAAGAACCATTCAATAATTGGGAGTTGGTCAAAATCATGTGCAGGATACCACTGCCAGAAGTAGCAGCAAATTTACTGTAGCAGATATTCCCTTTCTTGCTTGCTAAGAAAATCCCTATGGCAATATGTCTGGCTAATGACTTCCCTGGTGTCCTGAGAAGGTAGAGGTAATTACAATGCTTCCTTCCTGTTTTGAATGTGGACACGATATTTAGCACAGTAGTGGTCATTTTATCATATACTGAAGGAACAAACCTAAGAAGGCAGAGTCAAAAGACTAAGAGTTTTGCTGGCCTCTGAGCAGTTAAAAAATGTTGCCAACTGTACACTTCAATTCCCTTGCATTCCTTCTAAATCGTTAGCCAAACTGCTTCTCCCCACTGATCAATCAGAACCATGCTTGCTGACCAAGCTGGTGCAGTGTCTCTCCTCTAGACTCTAGATTCCAGGCCAGTGGCAGCCTAAGCTGGGCAACAAGCCCTCAGTTGGCCTCAGGTGCAACATTCTCTGCTTGATGATCTAATGACACTAGGCTCCATCTCAGCTTGCTCCATATGATTTCCAAGTCTTGATGGCTCCTCTCTATAAAAGAAAAACTCTAACTTTCAGAGAGACCTAAAAGTGAAAGCATTCTTCCTATTACACTAATGGTGATTCTGATGTTAACAGTTAGCAAAACCAAACAGCAGCCATCCTCTGCTCACTGCCCCCAATTCAGCCTCTGGCTCACCCAGGTATTAGGAAAGTATATTCAAGGGTGCAGGATGTTCAAGTCCTGCTCAACAAGTCACCTCTCCTCTTAATACCCAAGACCCAATTAAAATCAGAGGCTTATTTTATTTCCAAGAAGCCCACGTAAGCAATGACAGGGTGAGAACACAAGACTGGCTGATCCCTGGAGACAGAAGCTGGGGATCCTACCCACCTCCCTCCCCTCACTCCTCCAGATCTAAACATTGAGATTAGATCTCTGCTGCCCCACAGCTCACCCTAACCCTGAGAGAAAAGTGAGGAGAGCGAGCACCAGAACTGTAACACACCTGAACATATGTCTGCTCAAGGAAATGGAAAATGGTGGGGGCTGGGGGAGAGAATGTGCAGTGAGGCACAGAACTAGGTCTACAGCAGAAAGCAGGTCTACACACCGCCTTAATGCTCAGCTGTGAGACGTGGCAGAGTCATGCCCACCTATAAAACGTGACTCACTCACTGCTCAATGGTGCTATCAGTCA